AAAATGATAATGGGAGCCCTTTGATTGAATTTTGTATAGGAAAGGGGTTTAGTTATGGTAATACATATTTAAGAAAAGTGGATAAATAAGTGTACAAGATATTGAGTGTAGGGCAAAATGACAGTAGTTTGTTGGATTATGTATTAGTAGATAAAGGTACTGTTGAGTAGGACTGCTGGATTTACATGTTTATAGAGGGGCCTCAGATATATTCAGATCACTTTTGTAGGTGGTAGCTACCAGTGAGAGTAAAAGGTAGTTGAGATACAAGGAGAATAGAAGCATCAGGGGAGAAGAGAGAGGTGAAGGTTTATAAATTAAAAGAGGGGGGGCAGTCTAGGGTAAGTATAAACAGTTAGTGGAGGGATAGATGGGCTAATGAGAGCATTAGGCAATGGGGTCGATGCAGGTATGGAGTAGGTTTAAAAATGTAGTGTTAGAGTGTTCTGCGAAGTTTGTGGTTACGGAATATTGGGTGCAGGAGGGGATGGGAGAGAGATTGAGTGGAACATGATGATGTAAGAGATTAGTAAGGGAGAAAAAGTTATCACATGAGAAGCTTTATACAAAGTTGAAGAGCTGCAAGGAAGGAAGAATATATGGAGAAAAGATAGAGGTTAAGAGAGTGGTGAAGCAATGTAAAAAAGAGAGCAAATGATGAGAGTGGGTTGAGATGTTATCGACAAATTTTGTTGAAAATAATGAAAAAAGTTTTTGAGTGAGTTAACTTGTTGAGGAGCCTAGGAGAACAAATGGTTTGTCTGTTTAAAATTAGAGAGAGGAGAAGTTATTAAATGCGAGAGTTAGAGGTATTGGGAAGATGAGAGGGAATATATTTGAGGAATTGTTAAATGTTGATGAAGATATGAGAAAGGCTGTGATTTCATGTATAGGGAAGGAAGGAATATCATTTGTAGGCGTGAGGAAGGCCAGTTTGTGAGTGTGAGGGAAGTTTAGTGAGGCTGTGGGTAAAATGACAAAGCGGGGTTAGGCAGCTGGGATTGATGGGATACAGATAGAAATGTTAAAAAGCAGGGTGAGGATATAGTTTTGGTGAGTGGTTGGTGCTATTATTTAATTAATGTATGGGAAGAGGGTAAGGTACCTAGGGATTGGCAGAGAGCTTGCATAGTTCCTTTGTTATAAAGGCAAGGGGACAAAAGAGAGTGCAAACAATTATAGGGGGGATACGTTGTTGAGTATACCTGGTAAAGTGTATGGTAGTATTATTGGAAAGAATTAAGAGTTATGATAGAATAGGATAGCAGCTAGATTGAAAAGGAGGCTTTATGAAAGGTAGGGGGTGTGTGGACCAGGTGTTTACCAGTGAAACATATAAGTGAACAGTTTTTAGATAGGGCTGAAGAGGTTTTTGTCGGCAGATTTATGGATTTGGAGAAAAGGTGTGTTATGACAGGGTGGCATAGGGAGGCTATGTGGCAGTTTGCAGGTGTATGGTATGGAGGGTAGGTTACTGAAAGCAGGTGAAGAGTTTCTTATGAGGATAATGAAGGCTCAAGTTAGAGTATGTAGAAAGAGGAGATTATTTCCCAGTAAAGGTAGGCCTTAGACAGGAGGTGTGTGTCACTGTGGTTGTTTAATATTAGTTATATTTATAGATGGGTAGTAAGAGAAGTATAAATTGCGAGGGTCTTGGCAAGAGGCGTGGAGTTAAAAAGATAAAGAATCACCACATAAAGTGGGAGTTGTCTCAGATGCTCTTTGCTGATGACACTGTGCTCTTGGGAGATTCTGTAGGAGAAGTTGCGGAGAGGTTGGTGGATGAATTTTGGTAAGGTATGTAAAGAAGAGAAAATTAAAAAGTGAATACGGAAAGAGTAAGGTGATGAGTGATAACAAAAGATTAAGTGATGAAGGTTGGACATCAGATTGGGGGGAGGCGTATGGAGGAGGTGAATTTATTCAGAATATTTGGGAGTGGACGTGTCGTGGATGGGTCTATGAAAAGATGAGGTGAATCATCGAAATTGACGAGGGGAAAAGGTCAGTGAGCGGATTGCCACTTTAGGAGTCTTTGGAGACAAAGAACTTTGTCCTTGGAGGCCAAGAGGGGAAGTATGAGAGTATAGTTTTACCAACGCTCTTTATATGGGGTGTGGAAAGCATGGGTGTTGAATGTTGCAGCGAGGAGGAAGTCTGGAGGCAGTGGAGTTTGTCATGTCTGAGGGCATAGTGTGGTGTGAATATAATGCAGAAAATGTGTAGTTTGCGAAATTAGGAGGAGTGCAGGATTGCCAAGACTGTTGTCCTAGAGGCTGGGAAGGGTTGTTGAGGGTGGTTCGGACATGTTAGAGAGAATGGAGCGAAAACAGATGACTTCAAGAGTGTCTTATCAGTATCTGTAGTGGAAGGAAGGCGGGAAGGGGTGGCCTTGGATAAGGTTGGAGGGGGGGAGGGGGTATAAAGGAGGTTTTGTGTGCCAAGGGGCTTGGACTTCTAGTGGCTGTGTGAGCGTGTTTGATAGGAGTGAATGGAGACAAATGTTTTTTAATACTTGATGTGCTGTGTTGGAGTGTGAGACAAACAGTAAACATTTATGAAGGGGTTAAGGGAAACGGCAGGCCGGACTTGTGTCCTGGAGATGGGAACGTACAGGTTGCCTGCACTCTGAAGGAGGGGGTGTTAATGTTGCAGTTTAAAATAAACTGTAGTGCAAAGCTACCCTTCTGGCTAAGAGACAGTGATGGATGTGAATGATGTTGAAAGTTTTTCTTTTTCGGGCCGCCCTGCCCTGTGGTGGAATCGGCCTGTCTGCCGAATTAATAATAATAATAATAATAGAATTTCTTTTACTCTAGGTGTGAATGGGTTATGTTGCCTACAAACATTAACAGAGAAATTATGAGATAAAAAGCTTTTATAAGAATAAAAAAGGTCATATCGTCCCTGGAATATACACACAACCTGCACAGAGGAGTAATGTGAACTTATGACAGTGTTTTGTCTGACTTGGAACATTAATATAGTGGGATACTTCTGCCACTATATACTATCTCTCTTCTTGTTCAACTCCCGGCCCTGCCCCCCTCTTGTATATATATGGCTTCCTACCCTTTGTGTTTGTGCGACTAGTTAACTTTTCAAATCAGATATGAAAACATCATCATAAGTTTCATTTCTCATATGTGCGGGTTATTTTTATGTAACATTTTTTTATTTATCTTTGTTAACTAAGTTTCTATTTCCTGATCTTTGTGGTAGTGACCTGTACTGTACACCAGTGTTCCTTTTTCCACGAGACGTGAAATGTTGCCTCAGTAAGATGCTATTTCAAACAAGGTCAAGTCTTTCCACCATGTTTACTGTGCTGGTTGTTGTATTGCAGGTCCAGTACAAAGTGGCCACACACCCTCCCCAGGGAATGCCTCGTGCCTAACGGTGGCACCTGTGTGCAGCAGTGGAACTCTTATTCCTGCAACTGTGACATGACCTCCTTCACTGGCCCTACATGCTCTGATGGTTAGTTCTTCCTACAGTCACCCATCCCAAGTTCCTCTAATTACACGTTTCTCATAATAATAACAATAACACAATTGTAATTCCCAAACTTTACTTATTTATATTTGCAGTAACTATTTCTAGTCACATATGTCCAGTTATGTAATACTTATCTTTTATTATCCATTTCCAATTATCTGTAAATGTCTATTTCTAATTATTCAACATGAAAAGTCTAGGTCAATTTCTAACTTGCCATTAATATCTAAACTATTCAAATATAATACATATCCACAAGTGAATTACAGTGGAAACCTCGGTACTCGAAAACAGCTTCCGTACTGAACAAATTGGTTTTTGAATGCTTTTGTTCGGTAAGCAAATCACTCGGTAAATGACATTTGCTTTGGACACTCAACAAACAAACACGACCTGCCAGAACTTTGCTGTAAATTATTTTGTGTTCCTTCGCATTTTTTTGTGTTTTTATATTATTGTATAATAAGTCACCATGGGGATGTAAGAGGGTTAGTGAGTTAACAGCCAACCAATAAAGAAAATTGGTTTGGAAAAAAATCTGTTTTGCACTCGAATCAGATCGACACTCAGAACACCTTCTGGAACAATAAAGTTTGAGTGCGAGGTTTCACTGTACGTATATGAAATTACTATATCGAATCATACTATTAATATTTATTCTATACTATTACTATTATCATTGCTCGTTATTCATTATAAGTGTTATCACTTACAATAGGCCCTCCACATTTGCGAGGGTTAGGGGTTCCAAGAACCTCACGATCTTGAAATTCTTGGATGTTTGGTGGGCAAATATGATAGTATAGGGAAAATATAATAATTACTCGATTCTGTAGAATTCGCAAAGGTTTTTGATGCCTAATATTTTATTGGGAAATATAATAATAGCATTTACTGTAGCCTAACTACTTCGTTCCTTATAACCTATTGAACCACAATCAATAAAACACATGAAAACATAACATAAAACATGAAAACAATGAAAATGAGGGTGCTAGGCATTCACAAATGATTCAAAGCTCACAACAGTGAAACTCATAAGTGGAGGGATAGTTGTTACTACTATTACTATTATTATTATTATTATTATTACTATTACTGTTATTACTAATTACTGTTCTTGTTTACTGTTACTTATACTACTGTACTATTACTACTACTACTATGTACTCTTTTACTTCTACTAACTACTGTTATAATTACTCTTACTTCTATACTTCTCTACTACTATTACTACTACTTTTATTACTACTACTTACTTTGACTAATTACTGCTACTGTAATTGCAATTTTTCGACATAACTTGTATGAAGTTTGGTCGTGGATACTGGTATACTGACCTTCGTGTACTGAAGGTCGGTGGCCAGACTCCCGCAGGGACCTCTGGCCCGGGGCTTTTTGACACACCAGGATGTACTGATTGTGTTGTTCTCCGTCTTGCTCTGCCAACTCCAACGATTACATGGAACTTGAAATTGTTAAGTGTTTGATCGTGCCCTTAGCTGTCAATATCCTTGGAGTTCCAGTCTGTGGACCCATGCTTCTCTAGTTTTTTGCTTACTGCCCACACCATGGGTATGGCAGGTAACAGATTCTACTATGAAACAAATGAGGCTTAAGCTTCAGGGCCCTTAATCCCGAGGAATTGAAGGCCTTGAAGCTTAAAAATTTGGGTCTACTGTATGAGAAGGGATTGTGGAAGGGGGCCCTCCCTAACACGTTCAAGCTTTTAGGGCCCCAAAAATGCTAGGTCCACACCGTGTATGAGAGAGTGTATTAAAGATGTAATAAGGTGTGCTGATGTATGATGGGGTTATGTTCAATAATCCATCATAAGTCGAGAAAATCACTATTCGAATATGAATTGTATTTGGTCCATTAATTCAGAAGACCACCAGACACTATAGCTATGGACAAAATCCAAAATCTATGAACTTTTTACATTTTATCTAATGATTCCAACATTTGTCCAGCCAATGGTTTTTGTCCAGTTTCTAAAATGCATTAAATGGGGGTCAATTAATTAGAGGTTTTATTGTACTTATGTGTGTGTTTGATTTACAGGTCAAAACATTATTTTAATTGTAATAATATTAGTAGAATTACCTACAATATGTTAGGTCAAAGGACACAGATGCAACTAATGTTGGCATTTTATTGTGGCATGATTTTTGTTCTCCGGAGCTCCTTTACTAGCATTATTTTAAATTACTGCTCTTTAACTGGCAGGTTGAGGTGTAACATCTTCGTGGTATACAACATGGGCACTGTAGACCATCCATTGGTGAGGTGTGGTCATGTCACGAGTCAATGTCGGACTTCTTGTATCACGTGGTTCGGTTTTATCCGCTCTGGCCCCAATGCAACAGTCCAAATAGACGATTATGAAATCCGTGAGAAGAACCCTTCAGGTAAGTTTAATATGGATCCCAATACTTGTGCTAAACAAGCTTTAACAAGAGAATGTTTTCACTCTGTTGTAGAGCTTATCATGTAATGAATTTTATATAAAGCTCTACTTAAGGAGTGGCTTCTGAAGTCTTATATAGGAGGGACTAAGTGCTGGCAACCTGGGTAGAAGAGGGGGGCTAGGGGACTTGAAGCAACATTGTTACTTTTATTCAAGGAGGGGCTGAAATTTTTGGGGGGCTGATAAATTTTGGGGGCTTTAACCCCTGCCCCTTCTTGGGACTGCCCCCCATCTGCACATAGCAAAAAAATCGTTCCGCCATTAAACTGCTTGTTCTCCAGTTAGTGTTTTTCCTCACTTATGATTCATGTTTGGGTTTCACACGTCCTCTTTACACTGCAATTGGAAATATTCTACTTACAGGAAAACTGTTAAACCTGAAAGGTCATACAGAGCCACAGGGAGTGGAAGTTTTTTTTTTTTTTTTTTTTTGTTTTTGTTTTTTAACAGGATATACAGGATGTACAGGATATAAATGGCAATAATCTGGCCGTTTCTGAGTTTCCTCTGTACTAAAAGATATTTTATTTTCTATTGGTAACTTTTATAATTTTTGTATTAAGAATATATTAGAGGGTAAATTGCCATCTTATATAAATTAGATTACTGTTATGTAAAATACAGTCAGTCCCCCCTCCTCGCCCCATATCCAAGGGGATATGTTCCAAGATCTACTGTGGACACCTGAAACCGTGGATAATAATGAACACTATATTACAGGGGCATTTTTCATTTACATACAGACCTTGATAAAGTTAATTGATAAATTATGTAAAATAAGTTAGAATTAACACTCTTCTGATGGAAGCTTTTCACGGCTTCTCTTAGACTTTGGCAGAACTGCCAGCATCACTACTTTGTGCTTGGAGTCATTATTTAGCATAAGGTAAAGATTTATTTTTGGTGCCACAGTAAGAAGCTGTGGATAACTGCAAACAGCATATACCAAATCCCGTGGTACAGGGGTTCCTCACTGTACGTATACGTATTGTATTATTAAAGCATTAATGGTGCACTATAGCAACAAGTTGAGAAACAAGACACTTCCTATGCTTCTTGTCGATCATGGAGTTACTGTCTGACTTCTGCCAATTTCTATAGTATTTCCTTCAAGCCAAGAGGAGCAGGAATCAAGACTCTGGCTTCTGACCAATTTGCAGAGTTATCGCAGACCCTGATGTGACTGAAAATCACATTGATGCCTACACAGTTCATATAGAATGTTGGTGTTGTGATATCCTGATATCCTTTCATTTAGTCTAAGGGAACTGATGTACCTTATATTATGTTGTCTTCATTTTGAACACTTTGTCAAGGCTAGGAAACGGTTACTCCATTCTCTGTTGTCTTCCATATTAAACAACTGTCAAAAGCTGAAGGGGAGATTACCTCATCGACTGTTTACAGTGTCAACACCTTCAAATACCTCTGTATTGAACTGATGAAGCCATTGGACTGACTGGTGAACTTCTTCACCAGGTGCTTATCATATGTCTCTCATTTCTATAAGCTGCAAAGTGACTGAGAATGCAGGAAAGTAATCAGTTTTGTCCATGAATAGGGAGGGGGTTAGTCTGATTATTTGGATCAAAAGCCCTCACAAGTGTATAATACCGTCCTCTTGAAGGTGGGCTACTTTGATCCTGTGTATTTTATGAGGCTCTGTTGGGCTAGAGTCCAAGTTTGGTTAGGTTGGTTGATTAGGTTAGGTTACATTAGGTTTTAAGTCCAGGGCATGAAGTTAGGTCAGATTTAGTTAGGTTTAGATTAACGTTAGGTCAGATCTAGGTTATGTTAGCTTAGATTAGGAATATTGTTAGGTTAGATTAGATGAGGGTATAGTTAGGTCAAGTTTGGTATCGGTTTGGACAGGCTAGATTAGGTTAAAGTTAGGTTTTTGGTTAGGTCAGGTCAGATCAGTTAAAGTTTGATGTAGGTTAGCTGGAACTATATTTAGCTACATAGCCATTGCACTGATGGACTAGATGAAAGCTACACAGGTGAACCACAGTTCACAGTATATACAGTATAATTATGACCTATACATTATACAGTAATATGACTATAAATGCAGCCTTGACAGGAGTTTCAAAATGAAGACAGTACATTGCGTATTTGACACAGATCATGATTCTGCATAACCATGGACTTTACTTGCATTCAAATGTCACCTATTTCTGTATAAACAATGTACCATGTGGAAATAAAGTTTGAAATTTGAGTGTATCTGAGTCATCTGGAGGTTAGTTTCAGTTTTTATAATCCATTTGGCAGAGTGTTCACCAGTGAGCTGAAGAAAGTTTGGAGGGCCACAGCACGAGGATTTGAATGAGTTTACCCTAGCATGTAAACACCAACCAGTCCATTGTCTTTCAGTGACATGATCTCTGATGCTTGTAATATCAAAGTCCTTCAGTATGTTTACAATTTTAGTAATAAATTTTAGTGCTTCTTATTAATATTAATATTAACCTTGACCTAAAATGCTTTCTTGATAGTTGTGACAGTACCCACAGGCATAACACCAGACAAACATCTCTATGACATTCCCCATGTCCGACTAAACCTTTACAAAAATTCAATGTATGTCAAAGGCCCTAAAATCTGGAACACCCTACCTGAATACTCTAGAACTGCAGACACATTCATCACCTTCAAAACTACATTTGAAAATATCTTATCTCCCTGTTACACCCCATCAAATATTTACTTGAAATACCACATGGAAGGTTCATAACTTACAACTCACTCCCACACTTGTCCATAAAAACAGAAATATCAATCTTAATCTTAAATATTGAATCCTAAATATCATAACTTGGCCTCGTGATACTCCAATACTGAAACTATGTATTGTGCGAAAACAAAAACATTCACATTGCTAAACTCACAAACTAGTATTTCGTCACTTAGCCATAATACCAACTTACCACGTAATTTGTAATATTTTAAAGTTAAGAATTAATCTAAGTCTGCCCGAAATGCCTAGCCAGCTTGGATAGGTGTTCTAGTGGCCCCCTCTGTAATTATTATTTTAAAACATGTAAACCACACAATATCCAAACTCTGTAAACACAGCATTGTAATCCTTATAGAGAATAAACTTGAATATACTGGTGGAGGTGGTTGGGGCTATTAGGCCTACTGCAATGTTCCTATATTATATTCATATATTTTTACTTAGGACACGACTTCCTGGCGCTGGAACTGGTCAACGGCCACGTGCATCTGGTCTTCAACCTGGGTGACCGGCCAGTGCGAGTAAGGGACAACAATAAAATGGCTCTCAATGATAACAAGTGGCATGTGATCACTGGTCAGTCGACTTCCTCCCTCCAGCACACTCTTATGGTCGATGACAACATTGCCACTGTCACCAATGGTGGCAGCAGTGACAACCTTGACCTTCAAGGCTTTCTCTACCTAGGTATGAAATTATTACCATTCACTCCAAATATCCTACTCTTATTTTTCTTATCTAAAATGCTGAAGCATCTTAGTTAATTTATATCTAGGCCTCATTAGTAAGTATATTCAGGTATAGGTACACATGAATACAGGTACATAAATTATCAAACATAGTTGCATATGTGTAGATTATCTAGAATAACCCAAGAAAGTCAGACAAAGTGACTTATTTCCATTGAGGTCCTTGTGTCATAACATCAGATGATTTCCACTGATATATGAATTACCAACAACAGGTGGTGTTCCTCCGGAGATGTATACTAGGCTGCCTCGCCATGTTGTATCACGCTCAGGATTTGAGGGATGCATGGCATCCCTTGACCTTAATGGTGAAGCCCCTGACCCTGCAGGGCAAGGAAGTTACCATCATGGCCAGGGCCATGTCTACCATGGTCTGCGAAGGTCAGTATCCTGATATTATTATTAATATACTATATATATATTATTTTTATTATCACACTGGCCGGAGTCCCTCACCAAAGGCGGGTGGGCTCCGAAAAAGTAAAACTTTCACATCATTCACTAATCACTGTGTGCCAGAAGGGGTGCTTTACTCTTCAGTTTTTATACTGCAACATTAACACCCCGCTTCAGAGTGCTGGGCACTGTAGCTTCCCATCTCCGGGACTCAAGTCCAGCTGGGCCGGTTTCCCTGTATCCTTCATTAAATGTTACTGTGCTCACACTCCAACAGCACGTCAAGTATTAAAAACCAATTGTCTCCATTCACTCCTATCAAACACGCTCACGCAATGACTGCTGGAGGTCACAAGCCCCCTCGCACACAAAACTCCCTTTACCCCCTCCCTCCAACCTTCCTAGGCCGAACCCCTACCCCGCCTTCCTTCCTCTTACACACTGATACAATCTTGAAGTCTTTCTGTTCGCTCCATTCTCTCTACATCGGTCCGAACCACCTCTACAACCTTCCTCAGCCTCTGACAACTGTTTTGGTAATCCCGCACCTCCTCCTAACTTCCAAACTACGAATTCTCTGCATTATATTCCACACCACACATTGCCCTCAGCTATGAAATCTCCTACTGCTCAGCCTTCTCCTCGCTGCAACATTCATCACCCATGCCTTCACACCCATATGAAGAGGTTGGTATATACTATTCTCTAAGACTTTCCACTCTTGCCCCATGGACAAAGTTCTTTGTCTCCACAGAATCCTAAGTGCACAACTCATCTTTTTTCCCTCATCAATTCTATGATTCACCTCCATCTTTCATAGACCCTTCCGCTGACACGTCCATCCACTCCCAAATATCTGATTCGTTCACCTCCTCATATCTCTCCCTCATCTGATATTCCAATCTTTCATCCACCTATCTTTTTGTTATCCTAAAAACCTTATCTCTTCCTGTATTCACCTTTATTTCTTTCTTTTGCACACCCTACCAAATTCATCCATTCATCTCTGCAGCTTATCTTCAGGAATCTCCAAGGACATGTGTCACTTCAGCAAAGAAGCTGCTGTGACAACTCCCACTTTGTGTGTGATTCTTTATCTTTTAATCCACGCTCTTGCCAAGACCTCGCATTTACTTCTCTTACTCAACCCCATCTTTAATATATATTAAAAAACCAGGTGACATCACACATCCTTGTCTAAGGCCTACTTTGTTACTGGAAAAAATTTCCCCGACTTCTAAATACTCTAACTTGAGCCTCACTATCACTCGTAAAAAACTCTTCAATGCTTTCTGTAACCTACCTCATACACATATACATGCATCATCTGCCAACATTGCCCCCTATCCCCTGTCATTCGCCTTTTCCAAATCTTAAATGCCAAAAGACCTCTTTAGCCTTTCTAAATTTACGGTTCACTTATATGTTTCACTGTAAACACCTGGTCACACACCCTACCTTTCCTAAAGCCTCTTGTTCATCTGATATTCCTACTTCTACGGTCTTATCTTAATTCTTTCAATTATAAACTCTACCATACACTTTACCAGGTACACTCAAACAGACTCTAATCCCCTATAATTTTTGCACTCTCCTTTTATACCCCTTTGCCTTTATACAAAGGAAATAGCATGCTTCTGCCAATCCCTAGGTTACCTTACCCTCTTCCATACAATTTATTTATAATAATTGCGCACAAACCACTCCAAAACTATATCCCACCTGCTTCTTTTAACATTTCTATCTTTATCCCATCAATTCCCGGCTGCCGTTCCCCACTTTCATTTTCCTACTGCCTCACTGAACTTCCCCACCTCACAACTGGCTCTTCCTCACCCTACAAGATGTTATTCCTCCTATATATATATATTATATATATATATTTATTATATATATATATAATATATATATATATATAGATATATATATATATATATATATATAGATATATATATATAGATATATATATATATATGTATGTATGTATGTATTTTATGAAAAGGGATAAATAAATATACCAGGCTATGATGTTAGAACATATTGAAAGGAGTTTGTTAGATTAGGATTGGTGGATAAAAGGTTTGTTGGGTCGGCTCCTGGATGTACATGTTTATTAGAGGGGCAACTGATATAATCGATCATTATTGAGTTGTAGCTACAGTTAGAGTAAGAGGTGATGGGGGAAAAGTGAGGTAGGCATCATACAAGTAAGAGGGTGGTGAAAGTGTATAAACTAAGGGAGGTGGAAGTTCGGGGAGATATAAGCGACTGTTGGCAGAAAGGTGGGCTATGTGCAAAGATGAGGAGTGGGGGGGTTGAAGAGGGTTGGATAGTTTTAAAAATGCAGTATTAGAATGTGGGGCAGAAGTTTGTGTGGTTATAGGAGGGTGGGGGCAGGTGGGAGAAAGTGGAGTGATTGGTGGAATGATGAAGTAAAGGGTGTGATAAAAGAGAAAAAGTTAGCCCTTTAGAGGTATTTTACAAAGCGAAGGTTATTAGAAAAGCAGAGTATATTGGAGAGTAAAAGAAAGGTGATGAGAGTGGTGAGAGAGTCAAAAGGAGAGCAGATGATAGAGATGGGAGAGGCATTGTCAAAAAAATTTTATGAAAAATAGGATCAAATTTTTGGAAGTGAGTTAAACAAGTTAAGACAAGGCCTTAGGGAAAGTATGGATTTGTCAGTTAAAAAAACTGAAGTAGGGGAGTTTTGTAGATGGGGAGAGGGAGGTATTAGGTAGATGGCCGAGAATATTTTGAAGGAAATTTTAAATGTTGAGAAAGAAAGGCAGGCGGTATTTCATGCACTGGTAGGGAGGTATACCATCTTTTAGGAGTGAGAAGAGCAGAATGTAAGTAGTGGGGGAGGTTACGTGAGGCTTACGTAAAATGTTGAAAGGGGCTAAAGCAGCTGGAACTGATGGGATCATGACAGAAATGTTAAAAGCAGGCGGGGGAATATAGTGTTGGAAGTGGTTGGTACTTTTGTTTATAAATGTATGAAAGAGGGGAAGGTACCTAGAGGATGGCAGAGAGCATGTTAAGTCCCATTTATATAAAGGGAATGGGGACAAAAGAGACTGTAAAAATTATTAGAGGGAATAAGCTTTCTGAGACCAGGAAAAGTGTACGGTAGGATTATAATGAAAGCATATAGAGCGTAAGACAGAATGTAGGATAGGGATGAGCAAGGAGGTTTTAGAGTGGGTATGGGGATGTGTAGTTCAGGTGTTTAACATTGAAGCATATATTGTGAACAGTATTAGATAAAGTTAGGGAAGGTTTTTATTGCATTTATGGATTTAGAAAAGGCATATGATAGAGAGGACTAGAGAGCAATGTGGCAGATGTTGCAAGTATATGGAATAGGTGGTAGTTATTAAATGCTGTTAAAGAGGTTTTTTATGAGGATAGTGAGGATCAGGTTAGGGTGTGTAGAAGAGAGGGAAGACTACTTTCGGTTAAAAGTAGGTCTTAGACAAGGGATGTGTAATGTCACCATGGTTGTTAATATATTTATAGATGGGGCTGTAAAGGAAGTAAATGCTAGGGTGTGTTGGGGGGGGGTGGGATTAAATTATGGGGAATCAAATTCAAAATGGGATTGACACAGTTGTAATTTTTGCTGATGATACTGTGTTATGGGAGATTCTAAAGAAAAAATTGACAGATTAGTGGGATGAGTTTGGGGATATGTGTGTTGTAAAGGTAGAAAGTTGAAGTGAACATAGAAAAGACGTTAGGTGATGAGGGTGTCAAATGATTTAGATAAGAAAAATTGGATATAAAAATTTGGGAGGAGAGTTAAGGAAGAAAGTGAATGTTTTTCAGATACTTGGGAGTTGACGTGTCGGCGGATGGATTTATGAAGGATGAGGTTAATCATAGAATTGATGAGGGAAAAAAGGTGAGTGGTGCGTGAGGTATATGCTGGAGTCAAAACGTTATCTATGGAGGCCAAAGAAGGGAATCGTATGAAAGTATAGTAGTACAACACTCTTATATGGGTGTGAAGCTTGGGTGGTAAATGCAGCAGCGAGGGACGCGTTGGTAGGCAGTGGAGATTTGTCCTGTTTAGGGCAATGGTGTTGGTGTAAATATTATGCAGAAAAATTGCGGAGTGTGGAAATGAAGGAGAAGGTGTGGAGTAGTTTATAAAAGTATTAGGTAGAGGCAGAAGAGGGGTTGTTGAGGTGGTTGGTCATTTAGAGAGGACTGGATCAAAGTTAGAATGGACATGGGAAAGCATATAATTCTATAGGGGGAAGGAAGGCGGGGTAGGGGTCGTCATCGGAATGGGTTGGAGAGTGCGGGTACAGGAGGTTTTTTCTTGGTGGGGTACTGTAAGGGGCTCTTGGACTTCAGCAAGCGTGGCAGAGCATGTTAGATAGGAGTGAATGGGAGACGAATGGTACTTGGGACCTGGAGATCTGTTGGCAGTGTGAGCAAGGGTAATATTTAGTGAAGGGAGTTCAGGGAACCGGTTATAGTTAGTTTTTATTTTCTTATAGTTGGACTTGAGTCCTGGAATAATGGGAAGTACAATGCCTGCATTTAAAGGAGGGGGTTTGGGGTATATTGGCAGTTTGGAGGGATTGTTGTGTATCTTTATATGTGTATGCGTCTCGTCGTTGTATTCTGTGCACCTCTGCAAAAACAGTGTTAATGTGCGAGTGTGGTGAAAAATGTTGAATGATGATGAAAGTCATTTTCTTTTTGGGGATTTTCTTTCTTTTTTGGTCACCTGCCTCGGTGTGGGAGTTAGGCCGACTTGGTTGAAAAAAATAAAAAAAAAAAAAAATTATATTATATATATATATATATATATATATATATATATATATATATTATATATATATATACTAATTTGTTATATTATATTATTATATATATATATATATAGATATATATTCTTCTTTTCTTCTTTCACAAAACCGGCGTATGCCCACCAAGGCCAGGGCGGGGGCCCAAAAAAGAAATGAAAGTTT